CCGATCTCTCCCATCTGTACTGTAGCTTCATTCCTTTCTGAGAAGTATCTCATTCAACAACAGTGTTGGTGAAAAGATCTCATTTGATAAGAATGGAGAGTTCATTGGTGGATTTGATATTATCAACTGGATCACATTCCCAAACCACTCCTTTCTTAGGATCAAAATTGGAGCGATAGATCCCACAGCTCCACCAGACAAGTTCTTCAATATCTCTGTGGATTCCATCACATGGCCAATAGGCTTTAATCAGGTTAGATGTTTGAATGTAGGTTGTTCTGCCTTCATTTATATACCATAACATATTATCTTTATTGATGGAAGTACAATACCATCATCTCTGAGCTAACCTAAGTACAAATGCCCTGGGGACAATAAAGTACCATAGCATTTCTATAGAAATGCTTACATTTCAAATATTTGTCATAGAATGTTGCACCGTTTGGAAAAAAGAAAACTTTGGCCTTCTAAGTACTTTTCATTAGGCAATGGGAGCCAAAGCTTTGATATAAAAGCTGCACTTGTATCTACTAGATTTCTTCAATCTGGTGACATGTAATTAAGAAGATTAATTCTTAATTATAACACTATCATGCCCTACACAGCAGAGGGAGTCTGTACTGAGGGTGAAGATGATGGTTATAGAAGTCCATGGACTCCAGTAATGGTAGCTATGTAATAAAACAGTTGCAGACAAATTACCTCTCAAAATGTCATCATGCAACTTAAATCCTGTTTATCAATCCCTTTATAATTTGTTGATTTCCCAGTGACAGTATAGATTGAAATGCTTCCTTTTCCCCTTATATCTTAAAATATTCTTCTTCATTTATGGATAGACATCACCTCTTTCTTTGTGCAATGATCCTTGTGAGGCAGGATACAGCAAGGCCAAGAAAGAAGGGAAACCGTTTTGCTGCTATGATTGTCTTTTGTGTCCAGAGGGGAAAATATCAAAGGAGAAAGGTAATAAGATTACAAGTAAGATTCCAAACTAAGCCAATAGATGTAACACTGTGCATAATCCACTATAACCACAGTTGTGTTCTTTTTCAGACATGGATGACTGCTCTCTATGTCCAGATGATCATTATCCAAACCCTGACAGGAATAAATGTATTCAAAAGCAGATCACCTTTTTGTCCTATGAAGAACCCTTGGGGATTAGCCTCACTGTTCTTTCTCTTTGTTTTTCTTTAATGACAACTTTGGTGCTCACAATCTTTATTAAAAATGAAGACACTGCCATTGTCAAAGCCAACAACCAGAATCTCACCTATGCTCTCCTTGTTTCCCTCCTCCTCTCTTTCCTTTGTGTGTTTCTATTTATTGGGAGACCCAATAAGATTGTGTGTCTCCTTCGACAACCAGCTTTTGGTATCATTTTCTCTGTGGCAGTTTCTTGTGTTTTGGCAAAAACCTTTGTTGTGGTTTTAGCATTCATGGCCACCAAACCTGGTTCCAGAATGAGGAAATGGGTGGGGAAAGGAATGGCCAGTTTGATTGTTCTTTCCTGCACCTTTGTTCAATCCAGCTTTTGTGCTGCATGGCTGATAACCTCCCCACCATACCCAGATTTTGATGTGCACTCAATGTCAGAGGAAAAGATCAAGGAGTGCAGTGAGGAGTCAGTCACTATGTTCTACTGTGTCTTGGGCTTTATGGGTTTCCTGGCCGTGGTCAGCTTCTCT